AGCGGTCTGACGTAGGCCCTATAGAGTATTTGGAAGTCCATGCGAGTAATACGGGAGAAGGTGCGTCGGACCATCCGTAAAACGGCGAATGCCTTTTGAGCCGATTTCTCATGGTGCAGTAAGAAAGACAAGTTTGAGGAGACCCAAGTGCCCAAATCCTTTTTGGCATCTATCCTCATGATGTTTTCTGGTTCCTTTTCACCATGCATAACAAAGGCATTCGCTGAATCCCCTCCAAACGACATATGGACGCACTTTTCATCACTCAGAGGAAGATGCCATTCCAACGACCACTGCTTGGCAGCGTCTACATCCATTTGGAGGGCACTGGCATTGGAACTCCAGGATTTCAAGTCGTCAGGAAAAAGTAGACATGGACTCGCAAGAACGTCTGGGTGAACGACAGCCACTGACCGACAAGAACAAAACCGACCAGGGAAACTTGGGCAAAAGCCTCGATCCTGTGTGTCAATCCGTGAATCCGTGAATCCGTGACGTAGATCGGATACAGGAGTGGTCCCAAGACGGGGCCTTGAGGAACTCCAATGGAGACCGGCGCTGGGGAGGGATAGGTCGAGCCTATTCTCACTCGGAATGGTCTGTCTGTTAGGAACGCCTTGATCCAGCGAAGAATTTTCCCTTGAATCCTGTAAGACTCGAGTTTGTGGTTGCAGCGGGACGTGTGGCGGTTGGGTTTCTGAACCATTCGGAGCTCGCACGTTTGCTAGGGTCGTTCAGTATTCGCACAATGGAGTGGAATCCTGAAGGCTCTGACTTACCCCTGATGGACTGGAGTGGTTGAGTTTAGAGTACCAGTTGAAACATTTGAGCCCCATGTAGGCCTCCCGGAGTCTTAGCAATGCTAGGAAATTGTTCCACCAGCTTTTCCGCCAAAGGTATGATCGCTTCAGTGAACAATCTGGTGAGCTGGAAAAATATGAACGCAGATAGGAACACATACGCAACATTTTCGCGTAAAATGTTTTACTCCACCTTAAAAGGTTTCGCAGCTAAGAGCATTGTGCGACTAATGGACTCGATTTCTGGGCTGGCCAGTGGCCCATCTGTCGACCAATCACCTGTAAGCTAGGTGTGTTGACAGTTACTGCTTTTAAGGCGGATTTGGTGTAGGATTCTGCCTAAGAAAGACGTGACAGGTTTCCCTTCCAGAGTTCTGCTGTAGTTCCAGGGTCCAAGTGAGCAGCAGAAGTTAGCCACGAGATCGATTTTTCAATGTGCTCGGTCCAGCTGTCTAGGTCTTTCTTTATTGAAGATAGCGGGGTTTCGTTGATCCTTGATGGTTCCGATTGCCGGTGGTCTACGGGCATCAGCCACTCCAACCAACCCAAATAGTCTTCGGGCCTTCCCCAACTTCCTCAATCCATCCCCTTCCTTAGACTTTCGTGCCCACAGGGATTCATGGTCGACACTTGACTTCCGAAAATTTATCGGCCTGAATTATGTTCTGTTTTCATAGTTCGCTGAAATCACCGCGATGGGTGTGTGAACAGAGCTGTCCGAGGAAACCAGTCGACTGGCATACGGTGTACAGGACCCAGAGAGTAACCTGTGGGGTGTGGCCGTTGGGTAAGTTAACTTACCCGAAAGCCATTCGACGTACTCCGGTACTACTGATCCGATGTTCCTACCAGGTACGAGAAACGATCCTGAAACACCGGCGGTCAACAGCTAAAATTATCCAAACGACGTCGCCACACAACAGCCAGATTTCGTCCCTATATGGAACGCCCCGCAGCACCGTAAACTCGACGGTTGATAACTACACCTATGTCACGCCTGAGCCACAAGTAGTTCACCAAGTAGTTCACGACAAGTGGTGAACACGATGATCCAGTTGTCTTGCTCTCCAGAAAATGATATTGTGCCACCTTGTAACCGTTGGGCGTCTTGTATTTCGAGATGTCATACAAAGGAAGACCACAATGTCCAGGAAGTGGGGCGAAACCTAGACGATTCGAACAATGCTACATCATCCTGTCCTTTTTTCGCAGTCTTGCTACTTTTACTCGTACATATGTATGTGTACGTCACGATTATTAAAATAATTTCATTCCTCGCCGGTTGTCAAATCATGTCATCATCTGAGGTGTTTTGTTCTTCATTCAGCACGGATGATAAGCAAAACTGTTTCCGTTTTTCATTTCCTTTTACTTAATACTTCTATTGGTGGCCACTTTTCTACAAATTCCCTGTTGGTGTATTCCAAGCAAACGTCTAGGCCAGTAAATAACCACGTGCCACCGCTAACACTTGCGTTTTATTTGCTTACGGCACTCCCATTCCATTTTCACTATGTTCCTTGACGTGAGACCAACAAGGAACCCGTTCATACACTCTTGATGCGGCATTTACTGCATTCCTGACGGATAAGTTGGGTATTTCGGTTGATAACGTCTTGTCTCATTCAATATGACGTCCTGAACGCATTGGCAATACCATTAAGCTCAGCGTTTGTTCTGGATGGGGTACTGCTAAGCGTGCACCTCAAAACTTCAATGAAAACGATGTTGGGAGCTTGCGCTGTGCCAACTAACTTTCTTTGTCATATTTAGGCCTTACCTACGGAATTTTGAGCCGCTCCAACCTCGAGATGGAAGTACGCGTTCGCCTTAGACCGTGGCTGGAAAGTCGGCTGGATCAGGGTTGGATTGACGGTCTCAGCTGGATTGACAAAGAAAAGGGAATTTTTAAGATACCATGGAAGCACCACAGCAAACACACTTGGACAGAGGAAGATGCTACTATTTTCAAGGTAACATTCTGTTTACTTCAGCTTCACTTCCTATTTAGGACTGGGCGGTTGTCACTGGACGCTTTCGTCCTGGTGTTGATGAACCTGATTGGCCGATGTGGAAAACCCGGCTACGATGTGCCCTTAACAAAGCTCCCGATATACAGGAAGTCAAGCAACACCATGATCTCCACTGTGATGAACCATTCAAAGTTTATCGTTTCATCAGCAAAACTGAATCGCTATGGCGCGCCAATGCTACTCGAAACGCTAGCATGATTTTTGATGGCATCTCCCATGCGAACAGAATGAATTATTCAGGAATTTCCACGCTTTCCCCCGTGACGGATGCTTCGCTCTTCTCTGCCGTCACAGGCTCTAAGCGTACCGCTGTTTTTTTGCAGCGTCCCATGGGTATGGATAGCATCCCGAGAACCGTCACTCTGGTAAGAATGTGAAAATGTTCATAGTTTTGGCAAGCGTCCTTCAGACTGTTCACGTACTGACAGTGTTACGGAATATAGGTAGCTGGGATGCGCTGCTTCACTGTTAGTCTGTTCGCCAAGTTTGGTAGTTGTGTTGCAAACGTTTTGTCACCAGTCGATGTGACATAATTAGTGCGGGTTTGAGTGGGTCACGTAATGTCCACATACTGTTCACCATGTTGCATCGGAGAGATCTTCGAATGGTCTTGTTTGGTAATAGTTAAGTTTGGCTGCAGGTTGGCAATCAAGGGCTTTCCCGTGTCAGCGTTAGTGGACAAATGCAATCCATGGAATCGCCGAGCACACTCCATGTGCGTCTATTTCAGGCGTCCTCGCGTGACAAGGGAACGTGGTCCACGCGATCTTTTGTCGTCATGCTGGGCTTTCATCGGGAAATGGGATCGAGACAGCTCGTTGGTTAAAGCTAAATTTACTAACTGGAAAGTCCGTGTGTGGAACCCAGCCTCTACATCTCGACCGCCCCTGTCTTGGCTTGGACAACATGACAGTACACCAGCCCTTGTACTTCCTTTGGGTGACACGACAGCTATGCACGGAGAGAGCCTTACAGCTGAACAGTTCATTGGGGATCTACTTGTATTTTACTGTAGAAGGTTAAATAGAAATATGTGAGCTGGGGAGATTTCTCGGCATTGTGTGTACCTTCAAAATGAGCAGTGAATTAATAAAAAGGAAGCAGTTGTGTAAGCGCCACAGCTTAAGTAATGAGAGTAAGTGCTCCAATGAGGGAGAATTTGAGAGAGGTGGGTTCGAATAGCCCTTATCAAACGTGTTGTTCGACGGTGCGACTGGTGGTTGATCATGTCTGGTTATCTGGTTAAATGAGGTTCGCCAAATTAAGCGCAAATCTTGCGCAATCTTTTGAGTACAGGAAGTCATCTAGGGTGGCAGCAGCTGTGCAGGACATCCATATTGTCGTTCCCTTGTGGCACGTAAGTATTTCACACCGTCAGACCGGTGTTGTCCTCCTAACAGAATCGCTAGAAATGACTTGTTGCACATCCACATCGGTCCTTTTACCAGCCGATAAGGTAATAATACCAAGGCACCCACTTTGACAAAGTCCTCCTTTCGGACGCACCTCATTACACGGCAGGACCTTCCGAATCAGTTCTATACATGCAAGATCGCCGTTAAATTTTTCCAAGAGTCGCGCACCAGCAACGTATCATCACGTGCTCAAGTTAACAGTGATTTCGAACCTCGAACCTTCTTGCCCTTAAGCTGGCGCCTTAAACGCTGATGTCTCTCAATAGTTAATCATATAACCATCTGCTTGGTAATATAAAGCATCATTGATTGAGAGGTTTAATTCGATGGAGAGATTGTTATTCTTATCTGTAGTTGGATGATACCAAAATATGTCCACTCGGAATACTTTAATGCCATCGCAATCTTTTTTCAAAGAGGAGAAAAGGCCGTTACTTATGAGGGAACTGAGCCGCCCTTTGCACTGTTTCTGCCTTTGTGTGACCGATTTAGCCCACGCGTACTTCCAGGGATCCGATTTACCTTTGTCCATTTTTACCAGTTGTGGTGATCAAATATTGTTGAACTGCCACACCGTACAGTTTTGCAGGAGCTTGTACAAGCAAAGGGAATAAAACATTATGTGAGAACCGTAGTTCATGCATCCGCCGCAGACTTTCATGAATGACAGTGCCCAGTTTTATAAGTTGACATGTGATTCTACGAACCGCAAGCGGAATTGCGACAGCTGGAGTTAGCGTGATCCTCCTTGCATATAGTTAGTCCAAGTAGCTGTCACTTTCTAGGCAGACAATTAGCTAAGGTTTGTCGTCTTTTGGCCTTGTCTTTTGAGGCTCACCGTACTTGCTGAATCAACCGCACTAGTAGTGTCATATCCTACAGAGCCCCTATTTGTGTTTACTTCAATGCTAATAGGATGACTAGGCACATTGTTCACGCTTTTTTCCCTAAGGCTTATTGAGTCGAAGTCTCCATCCTGTCCTTTTTTTACTTTCCATCAGGGCGTTATTTTTGCATTATTGTGTAAGAGTTAGTTTCCAGTGTTTAGCACGTGTGTCCTACTCTGGATAGTAGTGATGATGGCAGTCAGGAAGTATATCCTTTAAACGTGTTTTTACTTCACTTAGACGCTGGATTGGCACACACACTTTCTCTCCCTCCACCCCATTAATAGCTCTTTCCTTGGAGGCCAGTCAGTTAGAACTGCTCACTCCGTTCGTACTCTGCTGATTTTGGCAGCAGTGTATGCGCATCATCCGGCTCTGACATACTCAGGCAGCCCGAAATCAATCTTCAGGCATTGGCGCCGAGTTTATCTGGTTGCTTTTAATGTTCGCACCCTGAAGTAAGCAGGGCAACAAGCTGCTCTTGGTCTTATGCTGGACTCACTTGACATTGATGTTTGTCAGAAGCAAGAATTCAAGATGCAAACACAGTGGTTGAGCTAACTGCCCCATCACTCTCCACTCGCCTCCGGTTGAACACCTCTTGTGATCCTGAAGTCGCTGCGGCTGGATGTGTAGGGGTTGATATCATTCTAAGTTACTGGGCTGAAGGATCCTTGCTTGACTAACCCTTGATAGTCACCCCTGTGGGTTCGTCCGTGAAGAAATCTCACAAATGGAGAGTTGATCTTTAACGTGTCTGCGTACGCCCCGACCTAGTTTAGCTGTGATCCAATCAAGGGCAAGTTTTCTGATACCTTGAATGCCATCAGCTGCCGATGGTGCGGGTCAATAACTGACTGTCGCTCATTTTGGAATACGTTTGTGGATTTTGACCACGTGTTCGTCTGGGGCCGCCTCTCCCTTCGTTTTCCAGGGCCACGTACGATGCGGACATGGCCTAGCAACTGACTGACTGTCAGATCCAGATATTAGACGAATTTACGAGAATAATCTTCTGGAGTCTCTTCCAACTGCTCCACCGTCAGATGTGAATTGATGCTGAAAAGAGGTCGTCAGCTCTCTGCACTGTGCCGGGAGCTTTGCCTGTGATACGGCGCTACCGGGCCCACTCAAGCACTGGATATCAGAGAGCACAGTGGCACCGCCTGAATCTCGGATAACTATTCACGCCAGTCCTGAACATAATCTGACCCGACGAATTGTCAGACGTCAAGTGTAAATGATCTTGCACACTGACCGTAAAACTTGATGGGACTGGAATTCTAAGGAAATGGGACAGACCCAGAAAGCCGGAAATACTCGAAGATTGTTTCAGTTGTCCCCGGAAAGCACCCACCATCGGGGCCGTAAAGTATCAAAATGGTTCGACCATCTTGAATAAAGAAGTTCGCTTCGGCCGCCGGGCTGAATAGTTCGAACAGCGATTATCGTGGCCACCTGTCGCCAGTCATCTGGAGCCTACAGCTGAAGTAAAACCCGGATGGGGAACCGCCCCACGGCCTCGGAGTTTCAGGACTGCATATCTCTCGGGCGCCACCGAGCCCCTAACTCACTCGGATTGTTCAAAGATGGGGTCAGTCAGCGCTTGTCTGATCCGTTTTCGTGCATTTGGGAAAACGAGACTGTCTCAGACAACTGGGAAGGATTGATTATAGTGCCCAGTCAAAAAGGGGGTTGGTGTCGGAGAATCCGTAATGAGGCTGTTGGAAAGTGGGTGTTTGTTCGTGCAACGAGGACTTCATCGAAGAATATGTCCAGCACCAGAAGCTGCGCTGGTAAGGCCATGTATTGTGCATGCCAAACAGTCGTTTGCCGAAGAGCGTGCTGTTTTCCATGCCCAATTCAGAGTGGTGGAAGCAGAGAGGTGATCAACCCTTGACCTGGTAGAGGGCTTTGAAGGAGATTACGGAAAGTCTGGGTGCTGTCGGCGCTACTCACCTTCCAGGATGGAGATCGCGTCACCCCTACTGCGCCTGGTTGGAGTAACTGCAAGATGTCTGCTAGTCGATGTCAGTAGGGCTCTTGTCGTTTTCTAACAGATTGCCAGAATATGTCTGAGTGTGGGCACCCGGGAGTGATTGTGGTAGACTAGCACTGTGTTCTTTCCCCGTCCACTGTTATTTTTCTTCACAGTAAGGCCTTCAAATAAATCATGGTCGTGCGGCAGGGAAGCATTGGTGTTGAACACTGATGTTATGTTGTCGATTATGGTGATTGATTGATTGGCACCATCTACCTATGATTGTGGATTACCCTATTCCCTATTGTTTCTAACTGCGTGTAAGAGCAATTACTCGGACTTCGGTCAGGAATGTAGAACTAAATCTATTTTCCTTTCAAGTTATTGTTTTATGATATGACCATCCCCAACGTTGTCCCATCTAGTGTCACTGATGTAAAACTTTGTTTTTGGAATACACTGGGTGAACATGTGAGATTGACAGTTAGAGTTCGCTTCTAACAGTTGCTGTAAGCATTCAGTTGTAACACTTTCCGTCCCAAGCTTCCCTGCCACCCGAGGGTAGTACAAGGGCTGAGACACTGCTAGTTTGTCCGAGCCTAGACAGAAGAAAGAAAAGAAAGAAAGCGTTCAGCTGTAGCACCCTTTCGGTGCCTAGCTGCCATGCCACCCGAAGTAAGCACGAGGGCTGGGATACTGCCAGGTTGCCCAAGCCTAGACAGGGGAAGTCGAGTGGCGGAGGTCGGATTCGAACCACGGACCTTCCAGTCAGTAAATTCGCGCTCTAACCACTTGGGCCATCTCGCCCAAGCCTAGACAGGAAAGGTCGAGATGCAGAGGTCGGCCGTTTGTTGCATCGCACATAAACGGCTATTTCCACACCCGTGGTCCTGGGTGTCTTTCTCAACGTAACTGCGAAACTTTTGGCCTGAGGGTCCTTATTCCCCCTGCCGATGTCGCTCAGCACCAGGTTCACTTGCAACAGGTCAGTAGCTGCGGATTTGAGGGCCAGGTTGTCTCCTATCTGTGACTTTCGTCACTATTCATTGGGGCTTATGTGAATGACGATTACTGTCTAAGCTACCGAAAACGTTCAAGCCTTGTGAACAACCCAAACTTTCGCATCTCTCTACTAGCCTGGGGTTTGTAACTTCGTCTACTTGTATATTGCACAAGTGGTCCACCTCTTGGGTGAAATTCAACAGGACCCTAGATGCCTTTTTGACCCCTCTTTCGCTTTCGTTCGCTATTTTTCCAACTTTGTTTGATTTATTTCTCTCCGCGATCCCGTCACTTCTATTCCGCTAGGTTCAACGGAGGACCGATGGTGTTGTCATCCGCCGGTTGCCGTGCATCCAGTCACGCACACTATTTCCCGTCAATCAACAGTACGGCAGTATTGCTACTGCTGCTCAGGCGCTAAAGGTAGCAAGTTCCTCAGGTGCTAATTCCGCACCCATGGAGTCAGATGATCCTGTGGTCTGTGCTTCTTGGCGCTGTGTTACCGAATCCTCAATATCTGCCCCGACAAGTATTCTCCGGAGACTTGGTGTTTTAGGAAGCCCCGAATTACCAGCCCGTTATGTAAATCCGCCCTATCCGCCAGATTTATTAGAACCCGAGTATCACCAGTTGGGAATAAGAATCCAGCATCTCGGTATACGCGTCAAGGATACAATAATCACCAACCCGAATGGATGCTGTATTTATTTCGGACGATTCGATGAAGTAAGCCTTTGTCTTTATTTCAGACAGATCGAAAACTTTTAGATCAGTGCTCCTGCAGCTCCAGAACCAGTGGAAGCCCAGATTCCTCATCACATCTCCGAAGCAAACAAGGATTACGTGGACCTACTTCTGGATAACATGGTTCGAGGCGTTATCCTTTCTGTTGTTCGGGGCAGTATTTTCGCGGAGCGAATGTGTAAGTGCGCAGTTTTCGTGTACACCCCAACTCTGTCTGGCGACCATATTCTGCTCAAAAAGTTGGGAAGGCGCGAGCGTGAGCTTCTTTTTGACTACGATGAATTTATGGCTGATCTACAACGCTTCCGGGCCGGCGAGCATCCGAAACCACATTTTGAGGTGATTTTGGCTTTTGGTCAGCAGTTGCGACCGAATTTGACGAGTAGTAGTCTACTGGTTTGGTGTCGAGTCGCCAGCTGTCGCGCATGGTTTCAGCTCCATAAGGTGGGTCATATATGTATGATACACGTTCAGCTACTATCACATGTTTATTTGATACAAACCCTTTACCTATTCGCCTGGAATGTTATCTACACTAGGCTAATCAAATAACGTACAGATAGATTGAGGCAAGCAGTTCAACCGGATTTCTTCACACTGCACGCTTTGACCGGTAGATCAGTTGACATTGTGGTTCTGATGATTGTAACTATGTCGAAATCGTCGATTTTGCGCCGGTAGATGCGGCTGATCCGCGATCGGAATCCTGTCGTATCTTTTTGCACCTGAATGTTACTGGAGCATTCGTGGTGCTTATTTTTTTTCTGTCTTGTGCTTTGCTTCTAACTGTCCTTTACTCTTGTTCGTTTCGTATTGATAGGTTGATGCACTTGGTTTTAACCACGCACAGCATCCTCTCAGAACAGCGAAGCAGCTCGTTCAAGTAAACGTCCTATTCATTTCCCCGAAAGGAGTGCTGTGTCCAAGAACATTCGCCGGAGTTAGTACCAGAGATAAAACTTGGAGGACTGAAAAAGGTCGTTCGTTTTCCAGGCGAAACCTATCCAATAACATCTATTGACAAACACGTCGGCATGCTTTACTTAGACTAAGGTCAGATCAAGGGTGTTTACCACCGAGTGCAGCGACCAATAGCTGCCATTTTGGCGTATTGTCTAGGCTGGGTTTTTATAGTTATCTGGCGGACAATTCTGGGTGGAACTTTGTTCCTCAAGATTCAACCATTCTAGGAAGGCCAAAGGAGAGTAACCAGATAGAAAGCAGCCATTCCACATGGTACGACTGATCGTATCACGGGGCGTTTTGGGGAGTAAAGTGGTACTGTTCAATGTGGTAGGAGCGCGAAGGCTGTACGATGTTTCCCGCAGGCGCCCAAAATCTCCGTGTTTATGCAGTTAGTAATGCTGTCTTTCCCAGAAGAAGGACGGATTAGGAAAGGTTGGGCCTAAAAACCGCACATTCCGATTGTCCAGCTGTTGACTGACTGCCGGTGCATTGTTCAATACGTCGAATCACTTTTAAAACAAGAGTCTGGTACTGCTTAAAAGGCATCTGCTATGCGCAGTCGAACTAAGAGCCAGACAGTTATGACTTACCACCGCTGCTGTCGGGCAAGTCAGGCCTCTAATAGCCCAGTGCGTCAGTTTTCTCAGTCAGAGGCTACGTGTTAGGCCCTAGCACAAATTTCCGCTAGTCAACTCACCTCGTAATTGATCACACCAATTTTAACATATTAGCTTGCTGGTCTGGCTTTACAGTCATTGGCCTAAAATGGGTTACTGCAAACAATTGCTCTTCGGCCTGAGTAGCTGGAGAATGTTATCCCCTCACACAACTCAAGGACAGCTGCTAGTCTTCTTAATTTTCTCCTACGCTTATTACTATCCATGCCAATACAACCCCGTCTGTGCTGTCTGAATTCAGCTTCGATCCTCAGCCCTCTACTTAGAGGAATAATACATAGGTACGCAGTATTAACACCAAGCAATCTGTTCAACGTAGCAGCATTTAATATCCGTATTTTGTCATATAGAGGGGCGAGATGGCTCAAGTGGTTAGAGCGCGAATTTACTGACCGGAAGGTCCGTGGTGGCGAACCCGACCTCTGCCTCTCGACTCCCCTGTCTAGGCTCGGGCAACCTGGCAGTATCCCAGCCCTCGTGCTTCCTTCGGGTGGCATGGCAGTTAGGCACCGAAAGGGTGCCACAGCTGAACGATTCTGTCATATACATAAGCAGACTTCCCTTGCTCTCACCCTTCCCTTTTTAAAAATCGGTTTGCTGCGTCTCCAGTGCACCCATACAGGACTACTATGGTAATGCCTCTAAAGAATGTCTGAGACAGCTCAGTGCACAAGCGTGAGCGTCGCGTTACGTGACGCCCTTTAAACCGCAATTAATCGATATTCAGATTGATTACTTAGCAACCATCTGCAGGTGGCGACTTTGTGTTTAAGATTGTCGCTCCTTTCGGATTATGAATTCAGACAGTGTTGCAGGTCGTTTCCCAGGAGCTAAAAAACCTCTATGATAGGCACTGTCGGTAAGATCCGGTCGTCAATGAAGTCTTTCGGCTGCAGCTGTCACGAAAACGAAACGAACCGGTTGGCTAAATGAAGACTGTTTCTAAATCTGAAATTATGATTTCAGCGTTTGACTGTGTGCGTCTGAAAACGAGTCCTTAGGCCACTTCAAGTTGGAAGTCACATAAACCGAGGCAAAGAGGGTCTTCCCACCTGAACGACAGTACGATTCAACTATAGAATTTCTGAAACGATGCTGGCGCGCAATCTCAGGACTGACGGAAAGAAGTTTTGCTTAGGAAAAATTAAGGAATGGAAAAGATAGTGACAATTGAAAATAGTTGAAATCTTATATAGATTCTTCTCAACTCCGGGCTAAGAAAGCCAGCGATCACTCAAGTCCTTACAGAGGAAGACGGCTCAAATGTTTATTCCCAGTCTCTCTGCCTGTTTCGGTGAACTGTGCACTTCCAGGAACAGATGAACTCACATGAAGTGTCCAGAATGACGTTCAACGCACCAAGGACTGCAGACGGGACTCTCGGTCTGAACAGAAAGTGAAATCAAAAACAAAATCGAATTTTTGAAGCGAAACAAGCACCCTACAGTCTTACTACCACCTTATTGAAGAATCGAGGAGGACTTTTGATAGTCTGACGAAACTTATGCAGAGCGTATGGGCGACGAATGAAGTGCCATAGAAATGTGGGATATCTGATGCCGTTTCTGTCTTAAAAAAGAGGTTAGATCTGAATGCGAGTATCATCCGGCTATCGGTTTAGTCACCATCGCTTCTAAGTTGCTCACAGTACTCATGAGGTAGAGTTGTGAAGTAGAGTCGTGAGGTAGAGTCGTGAAAGCCAAGCAGGATTTCGTCAGGGTTTGACCGTGTCTTTACCTTTTCGAACGCCGCCACACTTACAGACGGCCTTGTAATGATATCTCTTCCTCAAATATATACCGAACATTCTGTTTGCAGTCCTTCAATTTTTATGCTCCAACATTCGCTGGCACATGAAAGTCTGCAGAGACTGTTATTCTGAGTTTATCGCTAACAGTGGCGTCCGTCAGGGTTACCTCTTGTCACCTTTTCTCAGATTCGTAATCAAATTAATTGTCGGAGGAACGTTTTCTACGTTTCCTATGTCTTTGAACTTCTTGGGTTATGTGGACGGTAATTCACCACTTTAATCAGATTCTACTAAACAATCTGCATGCTTTTATCGTGCATATTGTTATGCACTTTGCGCCTACAAAGCGCAAAGTCCCATTATAAGACTGAACGAGTGAACCACTAAGGCTGCTAATCAAATCGGACCCCTTACAGACTGAATATTTGTATCGCGTCGGATAGCGGCATTGCCGACGAAGTGGATGCTAGGATCGCTGAAGCCCATGCTGCTCTCTCTCAACTTAGGAACTTCTAGGGTCTGTTAAACGAGGATGTACAACGCGGTAGTGTGTCCAGTTTTGCTATACAGTTGTGAAGTCTGGTTGCTTTGTGTTGAAGATAAAAAAATTTAAAAGAAGATGCATTTGAAGTATGGCAGATGCGTCATGGAAGCGTCGCTTTAGCCATGCTGTTGTCCGACGAATGGGTTTTGGCAGCAAACGGGCTGTTTGTCTGATCGACCAGCACCAACCATGCTGGCCCGACCTTGTGTTCCATATACCAGGTGATCGATTACGTCGCCATATGTTTTTCGTTCAGATAGTTTGCGTCTCAAAGGAAACTAACACAAGGTGGGCAGCACGTGAAAAAACATAACAAAGGGCCTTGGCTATTCTTTTGAGTGTAGTCTGGAAGACCCAGTGTTTGGAAGCACTTGCCCACATGGCGATGTCACTCAGCCAGTGACGGTGTTAAATCGATTCTCTTGTTCTTCATCAGTAACTGGCTGTTGTTCTTATTCTGTTTAAAAAAGATATTTTCATATACCTTGTGTTACAAGTCCCGCTACTACAAGCTGGGTGACCGGAACCACCGTGCTTATGTACATTGTTCCGGTTATCTAGCTGAACCAAATACACCGTAAATGTAGCTCCTGTTTGACGCATAAAACAACTGTTCATGGTACCGACAAGAGTCGAGGACTGACAAAGACTCAGGTGTGCATTCGAATTTGTGTTACTTGTATTCTTTCTCTCCGCTGTGAACAGACTCTCACCCTCAGTTCCGGCTGTTGCTTACGAACGCACCTTAAATTCTCGATCCGGTGTTTGTTCGGGCATCTGCTTAGGTGACCAAGCCGAAACAACCAGTCGTTGTTGGTTGGTTTTACTGTGTTCGTTCGGATTCAGCCGGAGGGATCGGCGGTTAAGGCTCGAAATCACCAACTGGAAGCCCCGTCATTTGAACTCGTCTTGTATTTTTAACTGATGTCCATTCCTGGGCAACCTGACGGTATCTCAGCCCTTGTACTTCAAATTACACGGCATTTATGCACTGAAAGTATGCGACTGTTACTTTTTTAATGCATTTTTTATTCTTGGGTAGTGGATAATTCCATTAAACTCCGTGTTGCTCAACAGCCCGTCACGAAGAGACTGGACCTTACCGTGGTGTGACGGTTTGCGCACTCAGCGATCCATTGAGCTATACTGGAGAGTATCCCGCGACACTCACAGAGTCTCTCATACCAGGTTGGTCAATGGTTAGAGGTCTGACGAACACAGTCTCCTGGCCCTCCAGGTTGGGGGTTGGAACATGTGGCGACTTGTTCCGTAGAAATGGTAATGCATTTGCATTTCCCGCCAAACACCGCTGCCTTGCGGTTAGGCTTTTGAGCCAAAGGCTTTGACTGAGGACCCTAATCGTCCTCCTGTCCAGGT